TTTTTTTTCACAAGTTCATACTAATGTTAAATATTCATCCAATTTTTACTTGGCTTAATGAACCAGAACATGTTGCTCGATTTCAACGTTATTTCGGTATATTACCATTGACTGACCACAAACCTGATCTCATACCAAAATCTGATAAAAATAATCTCACTAAGAAAAATAATGATTTATATCATCGAGAACATAAAACAGAAGTATCTTATGATGCAAATGTATTAGATGAATGTATTGAAGAAATTCAACATAGTACGAATCAAAATGAAAATAAGAACACAAATTCTTCAAAAATTGATTATAGAGTAACATCATGGTTTTGGTATTATTTTTTTCAATTAGGATCTGCACTTGGAAATGAAATTTTTTATATTTTATTTTTTCCAATATGGTATATATATACTTTCTTTTATCAGTATCAGAAAAATATATAGTTGATTTTTTCTTAAGGATATGGAATGTTGATGGATGTGTAGCAAGAAAAGTATCAATATGTTGGGCATTTTTTATGTTTATTGGACAAGCAACAAAAGATATTTTAGAAATACCACGACCACTAACACCACCAGTATTAAAATTAGAAAAACGGTAAAAATTATTAATCTAAAAATTTTGTTTTTTGTATTTATTTTTATTCATATATAGTTATATTGAAGAATATGGTTTTCCTTCTACTCATGCAATGTTTGCAGCTGGTATTCCATTTACACTTGTTCTTCTATCACATCAACGATATGATGTAAATTTATTCAATAAGAAAAAGTATTAAGAAGAAAACATATTTTTATTTAGTTTAATATATGGATTGGATTAGGTTGTGCATTGTGTGTATGTATATGGGTTTGTCTTAGTCGAATCTATCTTGGAATGCATTCATTTCTTGTAAGTTTATATCATTTGTTTTCAATCTTAGTCAATATAAAAGAGGAGAATTCTTTTTTTGTCTTTCAAGTGTGTTTGAGAAGAGAACAATCTTATTTTACTAGCATATATACTTAATAGAAGGTTGCAATGTACACTGTTAAAGGATATATGTACTTATAAATGAAGTGTTCTCTATCTCTTATTACATGATAATGATGAATAGACAATACTTTAATATGAATCATTTGAATTTAGTGAGTTTATAGCAGATATTAAAACTCATCAAACCGTTTGAGTTTGAATATAACTGTTACCTGTAAACTAATCTCTATATATATATATATCAAATATTTAAACATATAATCCTATACTTTATATTATTAAGTGCAAAATTGGTTGATCTTAATACTTCGTAAAATAAACTGTCTGGATATGATTTTACTTGTTTATATGTGTGCAAAATTATTTTAAGTATAGATACAAGACATGAAAGAAACTAATTCATATTGAAGCTTGAATGAATCAATGAGTTTCAATATTAGAATCAAATTCAGACGATTTAAAATTTAATGTATGTCTAATGATAGAGAGATTAAATATTTGATTATTTTGATTTCATTGAAAAGATTTTATATTATTCATTGCCCACATAATTTATGTCTAATATTGTTTTAAGCAATATTAGCATTCGAGTCAAATTACAGAAATATGATTTTGTATCAGTCGGGCCTAGTTTACATCAGACTCTCATTTTAGTAAAATCGTAACGAAAAATATGCTAATACAAAATTTTAAGAAAAGAATGTTCTGTTTCATCAATACAATATCATATATGTTCATTTTAATTAAAGATAAAATAAAAATATCCTATTTCAATACTCAAAGACTTTTATACAGTTCATAAAAATATCGACCTTTAAATAATCTCGTTGGCATATAGTAATACATAAATGAAGATATGCTCGTTTAAAATTGTGTACATATTAAATAAATCTTTTTTTATTAATTTTTATAGGATATCATAGGCGGCACTATTTATGCATTAATATTAGTCTTTGTTATGTTTCCATGTGTTAATACAATTGATAATTTTATATTAGATTTTACTTTATCACCTATACTTAATTTTTGTCTTGGAATATTTTTAATAAAATGTTATCCAAGTGTTAAACAATGGTCAACAGCTCGTTCTGATACAACTGTTATATTGGGTAGTACATTTGGTTTTTTATCATCAGCAACATTATTGAATGCAATAGGTTATCTAGAAAAGCCAATATTTCCTCCAACTTATCCAATAATTCCACCAAATTTAGGTCTTTGTTTTCTACGAACAATTCTTGGTTTAGTTTTTGTCTATATTACACGACAAGTAGTTAAAACAGTTGTATTACGATGTACATGTTCTGTATATGGACTTGATTGGAAAGATCCAAATTCTAAACGTTATGCAAAAGTTGAAATGCCTTATTATTATTTAACTTATTTTGCTATTGGATTTAATATTGGTTTTACATGTCCATTTCTATTTCGTTCTATAGGAATTAATCGTGATTATAGTTTTACAGAATTATGAATAAATTAGTCAAATCGATTGTATTTCTTCGAGCACATATCACCATATCAAACAATCTTTAGTTTAATTGTTGTTCTTTTTCTTTATTGCTTTATTGTCATCTTATCTTGCACGCATCAAACAAAAGCCTATTGATAATCAAAATAAAAAAATATTGCTTTGTTTTTTCTTATATATATATATATATATATATATAAAACAAACAGCACTTTGTTCGCATCGTATCAAGGCATACTCAAAAGGAACTATGACAGACAATAGCATAGTCTCATGATACAATAGCAAACAACAACAATACTTATTATATATTGAGAAAAAGAATAATAAGAGAATATTCCCAAGTGTCAAAATGCATCTCAGTTGATTTTCATGTACCAATAAAATATTTGATAGTTTCAATCGATTCAATCATAATAATAATACAACCAATCTCATAAAGAAATGACTTTAATTCATAAAAAAAAGAAGAAGAAGAAAGGTTTTATTAGTTTTTCTCTTATTTCAATATTTATAATTTATTTTTGTAAAAGTTCTTTTTTTTCTCTCTCTCTCTTTTCTATGAAGTAATGATTAATTGTTAGTAAAGATTTCCTATATGTCTTCGTTTAGAAAAAAAAGGAAATGATTTTTTTTTCTTCTAACAATAAATAGCAAATCATTTGAACATAATATAAATTATTTTGTTCAATTTTATTTGAGTTTAAAAATCACTTTTATGTGTGAATTCAGTCAGAAAAAAACTCTCTGTCTCTCTCTCTCTCTCTCTCTCTCTCTCTTCCTTTCTTTCCTTCTCTCAAGAGAGTTATTCTGTATGCATATGCGTCTATTATGTACGAATAAATAACGAAAGAGATGACGTTTTTTTTTCAAGGTAAAAAAGATTTTTCTTATGAATAATAACTCTTGAAAACATTAACTTCCATCGGTTAGTGTTTTTTTTTCTCACCACAGAAAAAAAATGTCGATTTTCTTTTTTCGTTACTTGTCTGTCTTGGTAGAAGATTTATTCACTCGTCATTCTTTCATCGTTAATATATGTCGTGCGTGCCGCCTGTCTGAGATTCTCTTTCCACTTTACAATATGACTGTATTTATTTGATCGATCGTAACTAAGCAACTAGCTCCTTGTATTAATGATATTTAAGAATGAACATTCTTTCTTTCTTTCTTTCTTTTTTCTCCTTTTTTTCTGTGTGTGACATCTGATGTCGTATGTTCATTAGTTGTGACGTGTCTTGAACAAAGATTATGACGACTAATTGAAATATGTTATAATAACCGTCTGTGTTTCAAATAGAGTCCTATCTTTACGTCTATCAGATGTGTCAATCTTTTGATTTCTTGATTGTTCCAATGAGTCTAATCATGTCTGAAAGAAAGGAAGAGACAAGACGTCATATCGTGTGCATGTCTTTCAAATAATTACCAATGAAATAGAGTGAGTATCTTATGCCAAATCTTCAATCAAGTTAAAATAAGTTAATAATAGGGTTCATGTTGAGAATGAATTATGATTTAAGACATAGATTAAATTGATGACAGTTAAATTACAATGAACAATAAGAGAATGATTAGTTTATTACATGAATATTTAGTATATATATTTTTTCTATTTACGAATTTGTAACCAATGAATTTAATATATGAGTACATAGAGACACATGTATATATCCGGGGTTAGATACTAGGGGAGTAATAAAAGTAATAGGAAGAATAATGACTCAACTGGACGTCGGAAGTCGAGCATAAAGCACACTCAGATAGATAACACCCCTCTCTAATTTTCTCTTTTCTTTTGTTGTTTATGTCTTTCATTTCTTATTCTACTAATATTATTATTCTACACAAATATCCCTGGACTAGATTAGGTATATGTTTTTTATCGAATGAATACAAGATGTGCCCTTACATATATATATATATACCTAGATTTGTATACTTTATGTTTAGTGATTTATGTGTTTATATCATCTAGTCGTCTATATGATATATAGTTAATATTTATTCATTGGTCGTTTAATAGTTAAGATCATGTGAAGTATGATTAAGCATGAAAATAAGTATAGACACTGACAAATGAATACATATATATGCGTTTATTATATCGTTCTTGAATCGAAAGAAAACATTTATTTGACCTTGAACTAAGATGAAAGTACCGATTTATATAATCGTTATCGGATTGACATATGTATAAAACATATATTTAATGTAAATTTTCACATATTTTGATTCATGGTAAATGTATTAGAAGAAAAAAAATGTCTCGAGTTTATTATTGCCTTATATAAATATATATATTGAAATTTTCATCTAATAATCTACTTGAATAATGATGGATTTCATAAGTTGTATTTTTTTTCTTCTAATTGTCAAGGCAAAAAATAGTCTAATGATGATTATTTCCGATTATGAATGAGTGACTATCCCACTTGTCTATTTTTATTATAAGTTTAACTATATATAGACTATTGTTATCAAGTATTCTATTAGATATTTGAACAATGAACATCAAAATTAAATTAATAAAAGAGAAAAAAAGAGAAAGCTTCTAAGATCAGATTAAGTTTTCTATATTCTTGAACTGAATGTCATCATCAATTGTGTCAATATAAGTCTTCATCAAGAAAACTAAGAAGAAAAAAAAGAAAAAAAGAAAGAAATATCTTTGATTATCTCTTCTTGTTAAGTAATGTTTTTGTATTATCTCATTTTCTTTTTTTCCTTATTTTTTTATCTTTATCAAGTAAATATAAATTGTGTAAATGTGAATCGAATATTTTTTTTCTCTTCTTTTTCTTCTTTCTCTACTTGATGTTTGAGGCATCTTCAACGTCATTGGAACGGATAGAAATAACGACAACATTATGCTCATTAACATTGTCGTTTCCTCAAGGCAAGAAAAGAAACTGTTGAAAAGGAAGAGAAAAAAAAATCATTATCACCAATTGAAACCGTCTAGTTGTCTATGCGAACTTTCACCTTATTCATGTGCTCATATTAACTTACCTTGAAAAGTAAATTAAAATTTACATATTTTTTCTTTTTCGAAACGAAATTATGAGTTCGTTTTTTACCTGTCTATTTTTATCAATAAGGTAAAAGATTTAAATATGTTATTAATGCGTCAATATGCAAGCTAAATTTCAATCCATTTGTTATCTGAAGGTCACCATTTTTTTTTGCTTCGTCTTGATATTTTAGTAATTCAATCAGGCTTTTTTTTTTGCTTTTACTATGTATATATTGACTTGAGTCTATGCTTCTTTTTTTTCTCTGTAGATAAATATATGGAGCAACTTCTTTTTTTTTCTCACAATTGATCATATTTATTGTTGAAAGTTTATATTACTGACTAAATTATGAATGATCTATCGGAGAATATGGATCTCGATGGATCGTTTGATTTCTCGTCAACAGATGAAATTAAAGAACAATCTCAACTAGTTTATAATAGTACAGTGAATGGTACTTTACGTTCGTTGGAAAAAGATTTCGATACTAATAATGATACTATGCGACTTTTATTTATTACAATTGCTATCATTATTGTACTTATCTGTATAACAATATCAACGATTTTATTTATTTGCATTTGTCTTAATCGGTATGTAGAAAAAAAAATTTCTTATGATATATTATTTATAAATGCGTGTAAAATCGAATTAAATGTTTACTTTTTCGTTTAATTGAGATTTGAAATTTTACGGTTTCTTTTACTTATCTCAGAATATAATGCTAGTACTGTACATATATATATTGAAAAAGGATCAGTTGTTGACATAACATGGCATATAGAGTAACATCAAAACTGGTGTTTTCATTGACGCATGATCCTATTTCATATAGAATATCTGTTTCATTTGCTTCCTTCTTATTGCCTTAAGAATCAGTTGATTGTTGAACTGAATAATAAGACTATTCCTTAAGGCATTATTCATAAATATTTCATTAATTTATGGAAATAAATCAGCAAAAGAAGCAATAAATTGTTTATTTAAAGAAACTTTTCAAAAAAAAGAAATTGATGAAATCCCACTGAGATATTTCGAAACCTATGAAAATTTACATTAACAATCATTTGAAATTATTCGGATATATAATAATTATTGTAAACCTCACTTAAATTATAAATCATACTTTTTTTCATTTCGGATCTAAAAAAGTCTTTTGAATTACATTATATATTTTCTATTATTTTCAAGACGTCGTAATTCCAGACGTGAAGAAAAGCAGGATCAACTTCTTCCATCTGAACAATTCGAAAAAATACCTGACAATAGAAAATCTTTAATAAATTCAGTAAGTATTTTCTCGTTATTATTCATTTAAAAAAATTAATCACAAAAAATTTAGTCAAAACAAAATATTAATCCAACTGTACCATTTCACAGTACTCAACAATCTATTAAAAAAACTTTATCATCATCATCAAGCATTAATCCTAATGAAAAAATACAAATAAGACCATATTATTATGATAATCTTGACGATATTCCGTTTATTGATGAATCAAGACCTACAAGTTTTATCGATGTTACACGAGTTTAATAAGATTCCAACATTTTCTATCATCAGTTTAAATGAACAGTAAAAATCATCGATAACGGGATTAAGTCAGATATATATATATACATATATATTTAGTCTATATTTTTATTTTTTTTCCTCATTGTTTTCTTTCTGTTTTTTGATCTGGATAAGGTAAAATATCTTGTTGAATTAATTAAATGTTTTTGTCATTTATTGAAACAAAATATAATGTTGTTTGTGTTTATAAAAAAAAACAAAACGATACATATTAGTATATCATCTTCGAGAAACTATTGAAATAGTATTTTATTTAATAGACGATATTAAACGAAATATATCATTCAATTGTTATACAAAGAATTACATATCAGTAATTCAAGTAGTTTGTCTACATCGATTTTAAATTGATGATTTACGATGACAGGTATACGTGCTTGCTATCGTTCTAAACTATGGTTGTCATGATATACGATTGTAATATTCACAGTATAGACATATGTGATGTAATGCAGATAGTTTTGATTGTATTGAGACTGAATATTTTCTTTTTTTTTTATAAAAACTATTTCAAGATCGAAAAGATTGCGTAGTGACAATTACTCGTTTTGTAGAGATTTAGATTTATCCTTGAAAAAAGACATTATCATTAAGAGACGCGGCAAACCATTCAATCTGTGATGTTATTTAAGGACTGTACTTGAAGGTTTGGTTTGTTATGCGTAAAATTAATTTTTCATGGTTTTTGTAATACTTACAAAAAAATAATAAAGGTTGATGTATTAGTTTAAAAGTCTTTTTTAAGCTAAAAGGAAACTTTTGTTTTTATATTGAAATTAAAATATTTAAAATGTTATTATTTTAAAAAATCGGTATAATCAATTTTTCACTATTCAAACATGTACCAAAATGCAAATAGAAACAATAGAAATCCTAATGTATTTTTTTTTGTCATCTTACTGTGTAGCATTATAAATGAATGGTGTGATACCATTGAAATTATTTATATCTTAAATAGACAAACGAAATTTGTAATGAACATTCGAATAGCTAATAATTTCGTCCTTCATTTTTTGCTGAATTTTTTCTAAAGCTCCTCTCGAAATGTTGATATTAGTTTGTTACTTGATCCTTTCAATAGCACTTTTTCAATAGATACTTGTTATTATTAATTTCATCGAAATATTTATTATTCACACTTCTTTTTTTTTGTCAGTATAATTAACATAGCATTTAAAATTTGATTATTATATAAAACAAAATAATGTTCAATCAAATAAATCCACATGATTATTCGATATATAACATACCATATGTAGACATTAAATACTGTTATATCATAGTAATATTTCGAATGTTCGAACATATCGATGAACTGTCATGACACCATTATGTATCTTTTTGATCAAAGGAAGAAAAAAACATGACATTTGATTACGCAAGTGTCTTCTTCCTTTTTTTTTCGTTCGTGTTCATTTACGCTTCACTTGTTGCTTAACTTTATGATACATACATTCAGAAGAATATTTTCATTTACAAAAAACTAAAATATGCACTTCAATTCTCGTCTTCAGTTTTATTTTGTAACTTATCTTTTCTTTTTTTTAACATTATCTGTTCATTCAATAATAGTTGTTAACTTATGGAATGCATGTCTTGATGTATCTGTGGAAAAAAATGTATTTCCAATATCATTAATACAATCATCGGACTACTATCAATTATGTCCATCTCAAGAACAACATTGGCGTCGATTTGGTTCATCAGAATTTCGTATGCATATCTTACGAACAAGTGAACCATTAGTTGATAAACATATTTCATTACAACATAATGGTTATGTTCATTTTCATAATGAAACAAGAACAACAGTTGCAAGATGGTATGGAGCAGATCATGAAGAACTTTAAAAACTAAATATTATTGTTTGTTTTTTTTTTGTTTTAATATCCGATGAAAATCATCACTATAGATGTATTTTTTTTCTCTTAAAATAACAAGAAGAAGAAGAAAGAGAGAATAAAAAGCGACTGCAAACAAGAAAAGAAAACATAATATAAATAAACCAGAACCACATTAGTGAAAAGAAAAAAAAAACGAAACAGCACCAATAATAAAAACAAAGAAATAACAAAAAAGGACTTTCTTTCTCTCCTTATAATAAATGAAAATAAACTAGCAATAAATATGTAAACAAAACGAAAATTGTTGGTTTATTGCCTAAGATTAAGATTGTTGGTCAGTGGAAGACAACACCGTTGATTCATTAGTATTTGATGTCTAAATATTAAAAAGAAAAAAAGAATTATTTAAAATTTTTTTTTTCCTTTTTAAATTATTTCTAATTCAGTCAAATGTGAAAAGCAAGCATGCGGTGTTAGTTTTTGATTATTCACAAACAAATTATCTTTTTTTTTCTTTAAACACATATTTGGAGTGTACCTCTCCTTGTCCAGTAGAATGTATATCGTTTAAGTGTTTATCGAGTTGTTGAGTGATTGATTCTTGGTTTTCAAGTGCTTCTTTACTCGAACGAATTAATTCATTCAACTGTTCAGCACGAATATCAATAACAATCGGTGATAGTGATGGTGATGGCTGTTTAACAAGTTCAAATGATTCATCCTAGATTAATTATTAGTGAAAAATAGCACTATATATATATGTACATAAGTGTCAAAGAAGCTTATAAATAATAAATTTCTACACCGAAGCATGCAACTAATTACAACTAAGAAAAGAAGACCAAAATTAAGATAAGCTTACAGCAATAACCTGCGGACTATTTGCAGCAATAAGAAATCTTTCATCAAGCTGATGTTTTAATACACGAACTTCGTTAGATGATGCATCATGTATTGATTGTAAACGTTGAATTTCATTACGAAGACGTACCATTTCATCTTTTAATTGTTCATTCTCACCACGCATACTATCAAGGACAACATCTTTCTAAAAGATAAAAATAACAAAAAAATTTGTTTTTAGTTCAATTGAGAATTATTTGCTTACACTCTTTAATTCAGTAAATAATGTTTCTTCTTTATTTTGTACAGTTTGTTCAATTTCTTTCAAATGATTTTCCTAGAAATTATAAAAAACATGAAACAGAAATATTAATGAGATTTTTCTACTAACAATATCAGTCATATTCTTATGAAGTTGTTCATTTTCACGTTTAAGTGCTTCAGTTTCTTGGTGTGCATTGGTCTAAAATAATAATATGAAAATCATTTCTACTTGAAATAAAAAATAATGTATAATATTTCTATTATGAATTTAAACGTGAAATTACAAAAAAGTAAGATATTATATGAATAGAAAATTTACCTTGTTTGTTTCGAATAATTGACGGTATGATGAAAACCATTGATCAAAATTCTTTAATAGAAAATAGAATTAATTAATTAAATGATTTTCTTTCATTTAATATGATGATTAATCGAAAGAAGATAATTATCTCTGGAGAACTTTGTAGTATCATAAGGAAGTTTTTTAGATAGAATTTCGGGAAAGAGACATAACACACCAACTTCTTTTTACGGTTTCCCTGAGAAGATGTTCATCATGATTTCCCGACATACAAAATCTTCAGAATGACAAAGATTTAAAACAAGCAGGGTGTTAGAGTCGGTGTGGGTGTGAGTGTATAAGTCATTCTTCTCTCATAGTACACAGCCATACCATCACCCGATTTCGTGAAAATATTTTACATACTGTTGAGCATTTCGTTCCGATTTACCTGTATTTTTTTAGGCTATAATCCCCTGACCAACATGTTTTACGGACTCCCGGTAAAAACGGTATAAAAAAGTCGAATCTGGACAAATTACTAGGTGTTCGGGACACCTAGTACGTTTTGTCTTTGTCCCCCCATATCGAATATTGTCTATTATAGAAACAGACTCCTCTTCTCTCATACAAATAATTGATATATAATGTGTCTTGTAATAAGCCAGAAACTCAGTACAATGGATTCTCGCCAACTGTGATAGGATAAGATTAGTATAGAATACACGTGAAAAATTAACTTAATATTATTGGAAAAAGTATATCATAGTTTAAACTCTTCAATATCTATGGATTGAACTATTCTATTAGTATTTTTTAGGGAGAGTTTAATCAAAACATATATATTTACTTGATTGTCATGAGGTAATTGCTTTCGAACATCTTCTGTAAGAAGATCAGTAAGAATTTTTCGTTGTTTTTCATGTTCTTGACGAAGATGTTCTTCTGATTGTGACATTGTTGACTTAAATAAATAGAACAAAAAAATGCTATTTACAAATATATATATGAGTTTTTCTTTACTTTAATTTTATCAAGTTCAACTCTTAAAGTTTTAAGTTCATTGTCATGAGATCTAAAATTAAAATATTTTATATATATCTTCTTTTCCTATTGATTTTTAAATCTTACTTATCAGTTTCTTGTTGTACATTATTTTTCTCCTAGAATAAAACAGAATAAAAAAATAATTTTATTAATTAAAAATTGTAATATACATTTTGAAGTCTTTCAATTTCTTGTCGTAATTCATTCTCGTGAGATTTATGTTGACTCTGAAAACATATATATATTTAAATAAAAATAAAATTTAATTATTAAAATTTACGTTTATATTATGAATATTTTTTTGAAATTCTTCAATTTCTCCAGTTAATTTTGTTTTTAAATTTTCATATTCTCGTTCTTTTTGTTTATTTGATTCAACTGTTTGTTTTAATTCATGAATTTCTTTTTCAAATTTTTCACGTTCTTCATTATTAACGGAAATTGTTTGAATATCTGTTGGTGATGTTGGTTCAACATGAACAATATCTTCACGTCGTAATTGTTCATTTTCAGCTTGAAGTTGTTCAAGACGACGTTTTGTTTCTTTTAATTCATTTGCATAGACTGTATCACCTTCTTTTGATTGTTTATGATGTTTTTCTTCGATTGATTTCAATTCTTTTTCAGCAGTTTGAAGTGATTGAGTCAATTGTTCATTATAACTAGAAAAATATGTATATTACAATTATGAAATGAATTGAAAATTATTTTGCTTACCGAATTAAATCTTCTTTTTCTTTTTGTGCTTCTTTTGCTAATAATTCATTGCTATGGGCTTTCTTTTCCCAATTAGCATTATCAACAGATAATTTTTTCATTTGTTCACTTAATACTTGTAATTTCATATTTGATGCATCACCAGTATTACCTACATTTGATGTTGTAAGATGTTGTGTTAATTGTTGATTTAAACGAAGATTTTCTTCTGTAAGACGTTTTAATTGTAATTCAAGTTTTTGTTGTTGTGGTTGATGTGCTTGGGTTGAATCAGTTTTATGTTGAACGGAATCTAATTGTGCATGAAGCATTTGAATTTCTCGTTGTTTTTCAGCTTTTTCTTTTACTAAATCATTATTACGACGTTTTTCTGTGTTAAGTTCATCAGTTAATTCTTTGAGACGTTTTCCTGAATTAGTTTTCATATCTTTAAAAGAAACAGAATGAAATTTGGTTAAAAATAATCAAAATGAATTATACCATCGACGTAAGCTTTCGATGATTCATCCATAACTTGACCAATATGTGCTTGTGGATCGACTTTTTGACCATATTGTAACTAATATGTATGTATTCATAAAGATCTTTGAAAAGAAATTTATGTATATCTTACTTTACTCCAGTCTTGTTTGACTACAGATTGTTTATTTGCAATCTTTTGCATAATAATATCTAATTCATCAGTTGATAAAGGAAACGCATCAAGTGCTGACATTAATTCTGTAACAACAAGTTGTGATGATGGAAGACCTACAAGATAATCCAATTATTCGTAGAAAACGATAGAGAAAGAGAAATCTTACTCTTAAAGAGATCAGCAATTTTGGGTTGTACTTTTGGTGTTTGTTGTTGTTGTTTTACAGGTACTGAATTTGTAATGGGAGTACTGGCTTGAACCGGTGTTTGTTTTTGTTGAGGTTGTTGACGTTGAGCTAAATGATCATGTTGAATTGGAGTTGAAGATGCTTGTTGTACGGGAGCAAGAGATACAGGAGCTGTTGTTGGTGCGGTATTTACTTGCTAAAAAGATAAACTTTTTTCATAAATCATAAGCTCAAAGAGAAAACAAATAAATCTATTGATCTGACAACTGAATTTTCGAATTAATATATTTATTCTTACCGATTTATTTTGTTGTTGTTGTGCTGGTGGTGTTCCAGATTTATGTCGGTTACCGCCAACAACTGTAAATGATTCTTCTTGATATTCATCTCGATTTGATTGTGTAGTTTTTTTATTTGTTGTTGAAGTTGTTGTAGCAACAGGTAAAGCTTGTTTATTTGATACCTGTGATGATTTAACTTGAGCTTTAGTTTGTTGTTTTTTTGATTCAAGTTCATCTTTAAGTGTTACTTTTGGATGAGTTACTGGTGGTGCTCGAGTTGTTGTTGGATTTTTTTCATTTGTAACATTAGTTTCAGTTTGATTTGTTGATGTTTTATTTTTATTACGTTTACGAGCTTTTGATGATGTTTCAACATTTTCTGATGGTAATCGATTTAATTCCTAATATTAAACAAATAAATAATTTATTCGAAAAATTTTTCGATTTTTACTTGTTCACTTTCTTCATGTTCATTATCAGTTTCTTCACTTGTTTGTCCTTTACCTTTTGTTCGTTGTTCTTGTTGTTGTTGTTCTTCATCTTTAATTTCACGTTTAGATTTTTTTTGATCTTTACGTTTTTTCTTTCCTTGTTCAACAACATTTTTATCTTTCTTTTTCTTATCATTCACAGTATCCAAATGTTGATTATTAACATCTACTGATAATGGATCAGACATATTCATTTTCATTGCCAAAAATCCAAAAAAACCCACTAATGTTGCAATTATAACCAATGCAATAACGATAGTTAACCAGTCGATCATGTTTTTTCGTTTGTAAAAATAATATATATATATAGATTTCACGTGCACACTCTCACTCACACAACACACTTAGGTAAACGATCTAAATTTTAAGAAGAAAAAAAAATAACAATATGTTAATAGAAAATAACAGCTGGAAATTCAAAGTTCGTCGTATTCGGACACGTTCTAGAACGAAAATGGAGAAGAACTAGACGAGTAAAAAGTATTAGCTCTCTATCCTATATAAACAAGAGAAGAGGATATCTTCGTCTACTATAACACGTGTATGCATTTTATAAGAGAATTTCTTGACAAATATTTTTTTATTTTTTTAGAAATTTATTTTTTAATCAAGTGTTTAATACTTTCATTAAGGATATATTCAATTGATAAGAATCAAAAAATGAAGGTTCGATGACATATCAATGGCGAATATCAACCAATTAGAGATAAGATCAGTCGTTAAAATGATGATATTCGTCTTCTAATTTTCGATATAGAAAATTAAATAATTAATTATTCTTTAGAACTACTAATAACAGTGAATATAAAAGAATGACGCATTTCAAATTGAAATATCGTTCAAAAATATAATATTTAATACATAAAATTCGTTCAGGAAAAAGAACTGATGGTTATCAAATATTCATACTAATGATATAATTTGTTTTGATATATTGTACTCATTGAAACAAATATTTCTAGTTAAATAATTTCTTTCATGAAATCAAAAGATACACATTCAACAGGAAATATATTTGAGGTACTAAATAAGACATACGAAATTTTTCTAGGCATACTTTTCAATGTTAAAAGATTGTACTGGTATGTTGTATATATTCTAGTTATCTTATATAGTACATACTTATGAAATAAGCTTATATAGTCACATATCTGACAATGTATTTTTTGGTCGAATGGTAGAAACAAAGAAACTGAACTTCTGTTATATGTATACAAGATAGAAACTAAGACGACAATTTGAGAAGAATAGTTCCTAACGATTTCGTATTTAAATGACTTCATAAAGCGCATCACATCAATCCATTCAAGTATATATAATAACGAACAAGTTAGAGTTCAGACACTTTCCTCATAAATCGACTTTATGACATAGAGAACGTACGAAATATTTGCGAATATAGTCTTTATGTAAAACGGATATTCGATGAAAATATTTTGACAAACTAGTATTTGACAGCTTAGGTTGATTATAGACTATTTATTGCCATCAGAGTGTTGATTGATATACCTCTTGATCCATCATTTCTATCAGCAGTAACTCTCTGAGTTACATCGATAATGAAACACGTCAAAAAACGAATGATGATCATTTTTGCTTTTTCTCTCTAAAAAGACTCCTTCATACTATTCCACCTACAGTTTAAATTCGTAATGACTTTTTGGTAACTTATTTTGTTTTTCTACTTTGATCGTATTCATGTATATCATATTTGAATATTACATCAAATTATGCTCGTAAAGAAGCGAACTTTTCTATATTACGAATATACTGTAACTATTATCAAATATAAAAATGTAAGAATTATTTGTTTTTTATCGTTATTAAACTTTGAGTAAGTATGAATACTTCTCATTGTTTAGTATATTATATTTTCAATCTATAAATAATAATTTAATTGATTTTATTACTTGGGTCATTAATAGTTTATGTATCCAGCATCTATTTAAAGAAATAGAAATAGCGAAAGCCAAATGCAGGTCAACAGTATTTTTCCTTTTTATTTAACAAATTGCTATTTAACATGTGTTACTTGTCAATCATGTTATGTTTGAAGATACACTTAAATTATATTCTTGTCGCATCTTTTATCATTTATTGCATACATTCGTTTGATACATAAAAGATTTCGAATGGAATTCATGATTCTATTTTCAAAACAATTATTGTCTCATGTCATTGCATTGTATTAGTTTATAAAAAAATAAAAATTTATTACATCGTTTGATTTTATCTATGTAATAAAATCAAAAAGGAAAAGATATTGTTTTTGATAACAATACGTAATAAGATTTTCTATATATAGATTTAAAGATAAACTGATAATTATTTTACTATTAATCACCTGTTGACATCTTTCCACAAACTACAGTCTGTATCTTTTAGTGTTATATACACTGTTTGCCTTACCTATGATCTGGGATCAAAGGACAAGGAAGAGTGCATTTCTTTAGTTTTACTTTCGAACTCAAAATTTAGTGAAATAATCATTTGTCTTGATTTTAATGAATATCACCTCTTCAAGTGCATTTTATAAAATCACTAATTAAATCGATCTTCAATATTAAAAGTTGAAATCGATCAATATGTCATTTAGTACAAGTAATATTTTTCTTGTAAAAATGGCGACAAAAACAAAACAAACGGAAGAGTATATTAAATTATATTAATATCAACGAAAGTTACAATTAGTTATTTTCATCACTTATTTTTATTAACCATTCGTCTTCTTACAACAACACACGCACACACACATAACTAATTATTATCAAAAGAAATCTTGATTAACTATCGACATTTGATGTTAAACGAATAGGAAATAGACTATATGATATTTTTTTTGTATAACAATCTCTAGCGATGACAAGTTGTTTAAAACAAACAGAAATAATAGTTTTATCTTTCCAAAATAAAAATAAATAAATAGACGACGAGGAAAAAAAACGACGGTTTATAATATCATATAGAAGATGCCAAATTATAAAGAAAAAAACTGAAAAAAGAAACTGCTAATTTTCTTTTATTTTTATAAATTTATCAAAATAATAGTATCAGTTGTTTTCGTCTTTCTTTCATATCAATCTCAGTATACGCCTATTCTGTACTGGAAAAGCTTTGCTTTTGCTTCTATTATTAATATCACAAGTTCTTTGACTTGCTATTTACGAGTATAATTGACGAACCGCAAATGGAAATATAGAGACGCAGAGAGAGAGAGAGAGAAAAAACTACTAGCCTTTTGTATTACACATTTGTAAGAAAAATATCAGCATGGAAAGTGACCTGACGAAACGTCGACCTTCTTTAGTTCCTGATAGTTTTCCTTGTTTCCCACCTGGATGGACACCAACAATACCTGCTGTAGAAGAAAATGATATTGATGATGAAAATAATTATTCACGTCGGGTACTTCCCTATCTACCAACAATAACTAGTTATGATACAAAACCACATATGACAATAAAAAAATTTCAATTAAATAATCATTCATCATCAATGGCACATACATATGGTATATGTGTATTAAATACTGAAGCTGAAGAAATTATAGCTTGTGATCATTATAATAATCGTTTACTTATGTTTGATTCAACAACAGATGGACGTTTATTAGAAAGTTTTCGTGGTGATATTGCAACACCTGAATGTGTTACAACACGACCAAATCATCCTCAACAAATCTATATTACAAAAGCACATTCAATATCTTTGTATGATTTAGAAAAAAAACAATTTATACAAAAACTAGGAATTGAAGAAAGTGGTCATGCTAATAATCGTTTTAATTTACCAGGTGGTATTGTTGTTGATCCTGAAAATGGGTAAATAAACTAATATAATAATAAAGAATTCTTCTATTGTCTTTTTTTCAGAGAAATTTATATGTGTGATACATGGAATCATCGAATTTGTGTTTTTTCACCGGATTTTCGTTATGTTAATCGTCGATGGTATTTAACACGATGGGAACAACCACAACATAAAATTAAACCAAATTCTATTGCAATTAATGCAAATAATCAATGTGTTGTTACATGTGATGATGCACCGAATTATCGTGGTGCTGTTTATGTTTTTGATAAAATGGGTTATATTAAAAAAATTTATGATCAAGAACCACATAAAAAACCTCCAAATGTTCAAACAAAATTAAATGTTCCACATGGAATATTACTTGATGATGAAGGAAATTGGTTAACATTATGTTATTCAGATTCGGAATCATGTTGGGTTGAACGACGATGTAAACAACAACAACCGGAACATGAAATGATAACTTATGCACAAAATAAACAATTAAAAGGTCCTAGTGCATTAGCAATAAAACGTGATCAAACATTAATTGTTGGTGATCGAGATGATAGTTCGATTTATTTCTTTAAACAAATTACAAAATCATAACAAAATATCGAATTAACATAAAAACTGTTTTTCTTTTTAAATTTTGTTATATACATGTGCCCATTTAGTGATGCTTTTCAATATTGATTAGTTTTTTCTATGCGTTTTTTTCTTACTTTCAAAAATTTGTTAGCAGAAAAAAAAATCAATATTTCTGTATACCAGCAAGATGTATTCAGGTTTTTCTTTTCTATTTACATCTTATTAAAATAAATATTATCTAATTTAGTATTTTACTTTAGTAAACTTGCAATGAAATACTATATAGAGTATTTAGTCATAGATTCATACTGATAGAAAGTCTTTCATTATGATATAATAGACAAGTTACCTTGACAAATATAATAGGAATATAGGGTGTGGGTGAGTGTTCTGTTTACACCCACGTCCTACAAATATCGTGTATATCGTATAGTTGATGATGACGTTACAAGAATATATATGTGACTTAGTCACTCATTTGTTCTGTTGACAAACATGGCGTTTTATCTTGTGTATGGTACGATTGTCTTCCGAAATATACCATTGTTATATGCATGGCGTGATTCTCTGTTGAGTATTCGAACCGGCAAGCATATATATACAAATGTTCTTACATATTTCTATCTTTCTTTTCGTTCTCTTTATATCACACCTGCATATATAAATATCTTCCAATGAGTTGTCATAACCAGTAATAACATCTTCAAACAGGTAAGCTAGTAAAACTAGAGCAGTCTACAGAGATATATAAATAGTGAAAGATAATATTCAGTACAATAATTCCGAACGTAGAAATAGAATTAACTACATAGAAACTCAGCCTTCTTCTTTACAAAAACTTTGTCAATCTAAATATTAGAATGTCAGCATAAAGAGAAAATAGGAGAGAAAAAAAAGATGAATGTCGTTATATACATAATAAGGAATATTTTTTATGTTCATATTTGAATATGATATAAATCACGACAGACTTGTTTGTTTAAGATCGAAGCTTTTCTTTGGAATCCTCATATATTTCCCCGAGAAAACAAAACTTAATATCAGTATATCGTCGCTATAAAAACGTCTTTTGAAAAAATAATATCATATTTTTAAAAGCCGTGTAGTTTTTTCGTCGTCCTGTGTATTTATATGTTAGTTGACGCTTATCTATTACCGAAATAAATTAAATGTAATAAAAACATTCTTATGTCCAGATTCTCATAAACATGATTTTATCATCATCGGCAAAATTAGTTGTCAAAGTTTTTTACCAGTATAAAATTATCTTTTTTCGAAAAGTAATTATACATTTTGATAGAGCGTAAAATTCTCTATCTTATTCTGCATGCATGTGCTGAGTGAGTTGGTTACCAAAATATTGAAAAATGGATTTTGTTGAATAAGTAATGACTCTAATCAATTTATTAGATGAAAATAGAAAGTATGGGATTTGTACAGATAAAGAATAAGAAGTGAAGAATATTATAATGAGATTTTCTCAATTCGCTCCATCTTGATTTTCCTTCAAATGTCCACCAATTCTGTATATAAGTGAAAAACCTTAATTATGATTAACTTTGGTCAATAGCTACCATTGTCTCTGTGTATTGATCGTAATATTACATAGCGTAAAATAATGTTGCATACATATTATGTACAAGTACATGCGTTCTTTTTCTTTCTTATTCACATTTATATATTTTCGAAGGTAGTCATTTTTTTCTTACTTTCTGTCAAATATTTCTCGGAAGTGATCTCTTCCTTGTATATGATTAATGAGATATTTTTTCTCAATATTAAAATATTCTTACTTACTTAATATGTGATATAAATATTCGCGATTTCATTTGCGAAGGACGTCAATTAATCCGAATAAATAATTTCATGACGTCACTGTACCTGACTTGTTATGCTTCGATTCACATTATCTGAACGCAGTGGAGATATGTGCAGTTACAATAGATATTAGTACAGAAAAAAATGAATAAATGAGTCATCACAAGAATGACGTTGCCGTAATCGACAATACTCAAGTATATTAGACTTGTTTGATAACTATTTAGGAACAGAATCAGTAGTGAATCATTTTAATGATTGAAGTTTTCAATATTTTTTCTTTCGGTTTCTCTATGGTATACCATTAAAATTAAGTGAAAGAATTTCTTGAATAATTTATATCCGAATGTTTTTACAAATTACATTGCACTTCAATTTCTTATTTAATAACATAATGTTCTATAATTAACTTCTTTCGTTTTATTTTAGATTCTAAAAATACTTTTTTCTATTGTTTATTCTCAATAATTCATCGATTAACTTTTTGAATTATGCCGTGCAATAATCAAAATGACGCTGACTATCAAACAATCAAACCAAATTACAATATGTCAGATGTTTTTCGTACGATGTTTTTCTTAATAGGTATGAATCACTGATAAGAAAGTTTACCTATAGATAGTAAGATAATATTTCGATTTGCCTACGTAAGGAGTGATGCCCGTTTATAATGAATGAGAAATCGCAGATAGTTTTGCAGTTGTCCATATTGAAAAACATAATTCTTCATCTAAAATCGTAAACACATTTGATCCTGGATACTAAGTCGTTTATACGTAATGAAACAAACAATGCATGACGGAGTCATGTTTTATGCGGTCAGGCCAGTGTCAAATCTTCATTCTTATCTCTACCACACTGTTTCACAAATGCTCCTAAAATCTTATCGTTACAAAAAACCATTTTTAGATCTTCTATCGATACATTGCCAGTAGCGACATAAAAAATTGTTCCAGCTTCAGAGAGAAGAACAGTAGCTTTGTTATTATAATTATGATTGGTGGAAGAGTAAATAGTCATGACTCATAGTAGTTATTGTGTTTTTCAATAATATAATATTATTATTAGAAAAGAACGTGAAGGAAAATAAATTGAGAAGATTGTAGAAAAGGAGACTTACTACAAAAAAAACAATCAAATTGAATTAATTTAAGAAAAAAAAATCATTCCAAGGATTAAATAAGTGCGTAGATTCGGCAATATACTTCATTATTCATCTCATCAGAAGTATTTTTAAAACAGGCAATGCAAAATCATAGAAAGAAAAATACCTGACTCATGTAACAATTTTGTTCTCTTCAGTCACCTTGGTGATCCACTTCATTAGACTAGTTTGACGTACATGTGTAGGATGCAGTCGTATGTTTTTTTTTCATTTTTTTCAAGGCTACGCTTTCTTTTTAAATAAGTCATGTTGATCACTATCCGTAGCTATAAAGTGCATATGAATAAACATACGACAAACTAAAATATTTTTGTTTTGTATATTTGATTTTCTTTTTTTTCTTTTCTAATGATATCAGATCAAGACCAAATGACAACGACAACTGTTCGTTTTTATGATTCAACATTTTATACAATTGCATTAACATCAGTTACTTATTTAATATTTCAAACATATTCAATACGTCCACATACACATCGATTAATATTATTTTTATCATTTCTATGTAGCTGTCTTAGTTGTGAAACATTTTTTCATATATTTCAACCAAATTCAATAATTTATTTATCGAATTTAAATATTACAAATTATTTTTCTCCAACAGTTATTCATTTAACATTATTATTATCAATATCATCATTTCTATGGAATGCAACACAATGTGCTGCATTAGCATCAATACTTCTTCCATCAAATTCATCAACCGATAAAGAACAACAACCACCAAATTTTGTTTTACGTCGTTGGCTTCGACACGTATGTGTTGATCATGTATTTGCACTATTACTTGTTCGTTTAGGACGATTAACTGATGTAGCAACAGTTACAGCATTAAGTCATATGGCAAGTATATGTGTTATTACAAGTTGGTGTTCACAAATAGCTGTTTTTCCATGTATGCTTTGTTTTCTTCATGCATTATTTAATGATACAACGACAACATCTGATAAAAATAATCCTTCAAATGTATTAACGACAACTACAGATGAATTCAATTCTGTATTACATCGATTAAAAATTATTAAAATTATGGGTTTAGCTTTATTTGGTTTAAAAATTTCAGCATTATCATTATGTGAAACATTAGCATTAGGATTAACTGCTATTATTTGTTTATCATGTCTTGTTGTTGCACCACCTGGACGTGAAATGTCAAAATATACAAGAATATTCGATATATTTATTGGAAAAACACTCGATGAAGATAAAGATAATACAATAAAGAATGATAATAAAAAACAACAACAACAACAGATAATTCCACGAAAAACACCTATATCAAAAACTGATGGTAAAAGAATATTTATTTTAATTTATATTCTTTTACTTTTAATTCAGATTCATATTCACATAATACAGTTCATCAACGACAAATAGTTAATGCAACTCTTTCTCATTCAGCATCATCACCCGGCTTTGTACAACCATCTTCAACAACTGAATCAAAATTAATACCAACAAATGTTGTTGATTATCCAACTTTAACTGATGAAGAACTTTTAGTATTAGTTAAATCAAAAAAATTACCAGCACATAATCTTGAAAAATATTTACCAGTATTACGAGCAGTTCATATTCGTCGTCTCATGTTAAATGAACAATTAATACAAACAGAAAATAAATTATCATCACTTGATTTATTACCTTATGAACATTATGATTATTCATTAGTTATTAATCAATGTTGTGAAAATGTTATTGGATATGTTCAATTACCAATTGGATATGCTGGTCCATTACGTGTTGATGATAAATATTATTATATACCTTTAGCAACAACGGAAGGTAAAACTTTCTCTCCATTATTACAACAAATAGAAAAAGAATTTGTTTGTTCTAGGTGCACTTGTTGCTAGTACGAATCGTGGATGTAAAGCTGTATCAATGTCAAAAACTGGTATTGAAACAATTGTTTTCAATGATGGTATGACACGTGGTCCTGTACTTAAATTTAATTCTATTCGACAAGCATATGAAGCTTATCAATGGTTAGATGAAAATTTTGATGAAGTCAAACAATATTTTGATCGTACAAGTTCATATGCACGTTTAACAAGTATAAAACGAAATTTAGCTGCACATTATTTATTTGTTCGATTTGTTGCAACTACCGGTGATGCAATGGGTATGAATATGTTATCAAAAGGTGTTGAAGCTGTATTAACACTTATTAGATCGAAATGGCCTGATAGTGTTGATATAATAAGTATAAGTGGAAATTATTGTATAGGTAAATTCAAAAAATATAATTTTTGATAATGAAATGTTCTTTTTTTTGTTTAAATCAAAGATAAAAAACCATCAGCATTAAATTGGATTGATGGACGTGGAAAATCCGTTGTAGCTGAAGCTGTTATATCACAGGAAATACTTGAACAAGTTCTTAAAACAAATGCTAGTCGATTAGTTGAATTAAATCAGTCAAAGAATTTACTTGGTTCAATAATGGCTGGTTCAATTGGTGGATTTAATGCACATGCTGCAAATATTGTTGCTGTAAGTTTTTGAAAAAAAAACAATTTATTATTTCTATTCATCTTGTTCTATTTAGGCAATGTTTATTGCTTGTGGTCAAGATCCAGCACAAGTTGTATCGAGTAGCAATTGTATGTAATCAATATTAATGTTTTATAGAAAAATTAAATTCGAATATTTATTTAGGTTTAACATGGCTTGAAACGACTGGACCAGAAAAACGTGATTTATATATATCATGTACGATGTATTCACTTGAAGTTGGAACTATTGGTGGTGGTACAAAACTATCCGCACAGAAAGCTTGTTTGCAAATGCTTGGTATTGATGGGTCTTGTATACAAATGCCTGGTGAAAATTCTTGTCAACTTGCTCGCCTAATATGTTCAACTGTTTTAGCTGGTGAACTTTCATTGATGAGTGCATTAGCTACGAATGATCTTGTCCATTCTCATTTGAGACTTAATCGTAGTGCAACTGCTCTCAGTCAAATCAAATAATAATTATTTATATTTTTCACAGAAATTTTTGGAACAGTTTGCTTTTTCGCTGTCTAGCTGATTTTTACATACCCGTGTGTTTTTTCTTTTTGTTTTGTGTATTATGTCGAAAAGAGAAAGAAGGGAAAAATAAAATGATAACAAAATTCCAAAATTACAGTTCGATTTTGGCCAAATATGCTCTATATATTCCTGTACTGCCTGGTCGCATAAAACGTGGTTCCGTTATGCGTTGTTGGTTTCATTAACGGCTTACTGTCTAAGATCGAGTGCATTTACGCTTTTTGACGAAGAATTGTGTTTTTCAAAACGGAGCATCGCACAGCTGCCTGCAACTTCTCATTCATTACAAACAAGTGTTACGGAGTCACTCTTTTTCATGGGCATAGAAGAACAGAACAATACATGCAATAATCTAGTCTAAAAATATAAGGATATCCGAATACGACTGAAATTCTGTCACATAGTCTTTCTCTACTAATTCATGTGACTCAGATTCGTTTATTTGTGATTACGAATTTCAAGCGATTCATTATATTCGTAATAGATTTAATTTGTTTCAATGACAATTTCCTTTTATATATAGATATAAATTGATAATCATAAGAAATCCTGGATTTTGCCTATATAAATATGTCAAAGTCTGTATGTATAGTTGATCTGCATAAATGAGAAATACAGCTATCGAGCAAAACAAAAAGAATATCGATGTAAAAATAGATGGAGTTCCAGGGTTATCCTTTCTGATGTTATCGATAATAATTCTATAATATTTTCTGCATGATTGACGAAAAATTAAACAAGAATTTTAACGGAGACAAACTATTCAATAGAATAAATACAATAAAATGATGAAAAACGTGATTTTTATAATATTTTTCGATTGATAATTTAACGAAGCTCTTCTAAATTAGAATTTAAATCTCAAGAGATTATAGCAGCATTTATTAAATGTCAATTGTATATAAATAAACAAGTAAATATAATAGACCTATGATTTATTTGGTTTTGTATTTGAGTATTTCGAATATATAATCTATTTATTTTGTTAATCAAAAATTTTCTTTTTTTTTGAATAATAAATATAGTTAAATATTGTTTTGTTTAATAAATAACTAAGTTAGATACATATTTGAATTGAAAGTTAATCTCTTAGAGATGTTATCCTCCAGCATTATTATTTTTTCTCTTGTGTATTATTTTCTCTTTCTCTCTATGTCTCTGCATGTAATGCTGTATTTCATCTATATTCGAAGATGTTTCCATTACTCTGTTCTTTTTCTTTCTTCACTTAGCATTGCTAAATGTTATTATAGTGTCGAAATGCATCAATACTTTTCCCAAAACGAAGAGCAATCAATACACATCTCTACATTGTTCTGTATATTCTAGATGTATATATATATATATATATTCTTCAATATGCCTTTTACAAACACATACAACAAAGAGGCGGGAAGCAGTTATCTATCTGTATTTTTTTTCTTCCGCTCGCCCGTTGTCATAGTGATATGTATTACCCGATTTGGTATATGCCGATGTACATATTCCATGGGAAAAGCAATGTAGAAAAGAAAGAAAATATCCTATTTTGGTACATCTGGATATAGTCAAGAAAGATATAGCGGTTGCTGTTCTTTTTGCGGGCAATCTCAATAGAAGAGACATACACATCTTCCTATCATCTAAATCGTTGTTTTAAAGAATAAATATGTGTGACGAAGACGTTGCAGCTATTGTTATTGACAATGGATCGGGTAAGAATATTATGATAAATTTCTTTTTATAAAAACGAAATTTCATTATTTTTTTGTAAATAGGTATGTGCAAAGCTGGTTTTGCCGGTGATGATGCTCCTCGATCAGTATTTCCATCAGTTGTTGGTCGACCACGTCATCAAGCTGTTATGGTTGGTATGGGTCAAAAAGATTCATATGTTGGTGATGAAGCTCAATCAAAACGTGGTATTTTAACACTTAAATATCCAATTGAACACGGTATTATTACAAATTGGGATGATATTGAAAAAATTTGGCATCATACTTTCTACAATGAACTTCGTGTTGCACCAGAAGAACACCCCGTACTTCTTACCGAAGCTCCACTCAATCCAAAGGCTAATCGTGAAAAAATGACACAAATTATGTTTGAAACATTCAATTCACCAGGTAAAAAATTTCCCTTTATTCAATAAATAATACAAATTTAATCATTTTATTTTCTTCTTTATAGCTATGTATGTTGCTATTCAAGCTGTACTTTCACTCTATGCTAGTGGTCGTACAACTGGTATTGTTCTTGATTCAGGCGATGGTGTTACACATGATGTTCCCATCTATGAAGGTTATGCTTTACCACATGCTATTCTTCGTCTTGATTTAGCTGGTCGTGATTTAACTGATTATTTAATGAAAATTTTAACTGAACGTGGTTATTCATTCGTAACAACTGCTGAACGTGAAATTGTCCGAGATATCAAAGAAAAATTATGTTATGTTGCATTAGATTTCGAACAAGAAATGGCAACAGCTGCATCAACATCATCATTAGAAAAAAGTTACGAATTACCTGATGGTCAAGTTATTACCATTGGTAATGAACGTTTCCGTTGCCCAGAATCACTCTTTCAACCATCATTTTTGGTAAATATATTCTTCAAAAAAAACTGACTAATAAATATTATTATTATAGGGTATGGAAGTTGCTGGTATTCATGAAACAACATTTAACTCAATCATGAAATGCGATATTGATATTCGTAAAGATTTATATGCTAATACAGTTTTATCTGGAGGTAAAAATTAAAGATTTAATTCTTCATAATTTTCTTAAAAATGAATTAATTAATTAAGGTACCTCAATGTATCCCGGTATTGCTGATCGTATGCAAAAAGAAATAACAGCTTTAGCACCATCAACAATGAAAATCAAAATCATTGCACCACCTGAACGTAAATATTCAGTATGGATTGGTGGTTCAATTTTAGCTTCATTATCTACATTTCAACAAATGTGGATTTCAAAACAAGAATATGACGAAGCTGGTCCATCAATTGTTCATCGTAAATGCTTTTAAATTAAAGGAAGATCATCATCATCATCATCAATTAGAATATTTGACTCTTTTTCTTTGCAAGCAAACAAAAAAGAAAATGAACCTTCTTCAACTGCACGCATACCATATTTCCTTACCCTATTTTAATGATGTGCCATCATTACCTTTTCTTTTTATTCATTTATTTCTTTTCTGTCTAGCCTTTTGATTTTAACAATTTTGTGCAATGAAAACAGCATATATTCATAAGTTTGTTTTTTTTCTAATCAAAAAAAAATATATCTTAATATCCTTCTCTTCTTTTAATGAAATAGTTAAGAACTGATGATAATAATTTTTATACATTGAAATTCTTTGAATAGAAATGATTTCATATGCATCATTGATACAATTCATAAGTATAAATAAATTTCGTATGAGTTACCATTATGCTTGACATATACATAATACAAATAGTTACGACAATTTCATAGCCTTAAGCAACGGAGAAATGATTATAACTGTTTATTGAACGAAACACGCAATAGACTTTTTTTTCGTCTTCTATTTATAAATTATAGAAAAACAACGATGTAAACTTTACGTACAAAAACAATCATCATACAAAAGAGAAAGTGGCTTATCACTTCAAAAAAAGAATTGTATAAATAACCTAATTGATTTAAACAACTTGACTCAACGTTTCTATACTTAACTAATTAATAAAACTAGAAATATATACATATATCATTATAGTTCGTACCATAAGAATTTCGAAGCACCTCAACAACAAAGATCGGCATCGATAAGTGATCTCACTCATCATTGTTTGCCGTTAGGAGACTTTTTTTTTTGTTCTGTTTAAAATGACTATATGTATGATATAGTGAGACATTGCCATAAACTACAGTTACTACTACTGTGAGAATATCTAAAGACAATATGTACATTGTACAAAGCGTTTTTTTTCTTCTTCTCTTCATTCTTATGATCGTTCTCTTTGTACCGTATATTCGGAGTTGATATATATGTATAGAGAATGATTGTCTTTCTATAATAGGTAAGCTTCGAACGTTGGCAAACAAAAAAAAGTAAAACATGTTTTTTTTTTCTTTTACATTTCTTTGGCAGTTCTCATCGCGTTGCCTTTCGTCTTCATCTTCTTCTTCTTCATAATTTTCGGGAAGAGAACGAATGAAAATATGCATAAAATCACCGTCTACACATCAGAAAGTGAGTGAGCTTCTTTTGAAAATAATAATAATAATGCAACATCAACGAATATTTATATTTATTTAAAGATTTTTTTTTCTTTTCGCAGGACGAACAAAAAAAATGACATAAGCTTGGATATTTATTAGTAATAATTACTCTAAACATTTTTTTGCACAATTTTTATTCATTCGAACAGTTAAAGTTTTATTCCGGTGGTTGAAATTCTTCATAATGGCAAGTGTATCTTCTCAAAAAATTTCACTTCTATTTCATCGTACACGTTTAAAATCTCGTTATATATTATCAATTCTTGTTGGTCTTGCACTTGGTTTTATTTTAAGTCTTGCATGTGTACCATTAATGAATATATGTGATACATCTCTATCAATATTATCTGGACCATTTTCTTTATCATTAAATTTTCATATAAAAAATGGAAACTCATCATTACGTGATAAATTTGATCCATTTCGAATATTAAATCGACAAGCTCGTTCCATTGCTGATATAACTCTCGTCGATTATGGTAGTAAAGATTATGAACCAAAAATTAATCCATCACAACAACAACAAGTACCAATTAAATCCAATCATAATAATAGTAAAGTAACAACTACAACAACACATGTATCAAATGTAGCTAAAATATTACGACCACGTTTTATGGCTGATGAATTGGGTATACGTGAAAAAGTTCTTGTAGCTGTTTTAACTGAAACGAATCATTTAAATACATTTGCTTTGTTTCTTAATCAAACATTATCTGATCATGTTAATCGTATATTATTTTTTATTGATGAAGTTCGACAAGATTTTCCTAAAGATATGCAAGTTATTGCTATTAATGATAAACGTTCATATTTAAAACCATTTTATGTGTTAAAATATCTCGTAGAAAAAACTATTAAATCATATGATTGGTTTTTTCTCGTACCTGATAATACATATATACGAGGTTTTAAGGTAAGAACAAATTTCATAAAAAAAACTTTTTTAGTAGTTTCTTCTGTTTAGTTAAATGAATTTCTTAATCATATAAGTATCAATCAAGATCTATATATGGGACAAGCATTTGATGATATACATGCTGTTTATTGTTATTTTGGTTCAGGAATTATTTTATCTAGAGTAAGTTGAAATAAATAAATGATGGTATTCTATTTCGGGCAAATCTTAATCTAAACAAAGAGACTAAAGATACATATTTATTGGTTTATATTCGAGTGTTAATAGATGAAAGGATCGAAGTTTGAATTAATATAAAGTTTATGATTTATTTATAGACAGTACTTCAAAAAATCTATACTGAACTTGATTGGTGTACGAAAAATGCTTATTCACAAGATTTAACTGATAATATTGGTCGATGTATTTTAAAAGCAGCAAAATTACCATGTACAAATTTAGCTAGTGTATGTTAGATATATTTCGTTTAATTATTAAATTGAAAATAAATTTATTATATTTTTAGAATTATAAATTTAATGCTTATGTTAATTATCGTTTTGAATATGATGCTGATATTAGTGAAGTATCTAAAACTAAAGATTTTAATCAAACATTAACTATTCATCCAATAAATGATCTTGAAACAATGCTTAAACTTCAAAAGTATAATGAACTTGTTTTTCTTTTTCTATTTTATCAATTCTTTTTTCTTTTCAAGGTATTTTAATGAAGTTGAAATAAATGAAATGTCACAGGATATTTTAAAATATGAAGAAACAATTGAAAATTTATCGTGTTATGCAACGGAAGGTTGTGGAAATATTCCATGGCCTGTTGGAGTTCCAGCACCATTTAAACCATCAACACGTTTTGATGTTCTTCGTTGGGATTATTTTAATGAAACACATATTTATTTAAAAACAGATAATACTGTTATTGATTTGATGAAACGTATGATTTAGAAATTTTATTTATATTCGAATTTTTTCTGCTTTTTTTCCAATAGAAAATGATTATGAAGATATACAAGAAGTTATTGATCATTCTGTAAAACAATTTCAAACAAAATATGGAACTAAGTAAATAGAAATTTTAAATAATTACTTATTCAAACACGAAATACATTCGTTTTTCTATAGATTAAAATTTAAAAATTTATTAAATGGCTATCGTCAATTTGATCCGACACGTGGCACACATTATATTATTGATATAGTATTGATAGATGAACAAAAAAAAGAATATATAAAACGTGCAGAATTAATGAGACCATTAGGTAAGTGATGTGTGAATGATAAAATTTAAAATATTAAGAACTAACAGAAGTAAACAGCGTTGCCCGGGAAATTGAGAATATTAATGACATCCACACCTATTCACTCATCCGCAATTCGACACTCACACCTACCTTTGTATGTAGACTTTAATTCAAACATGAAATCATGAGTATGTGTTAAACAATTACATCGTTATTTATATAACAAATGAATAAAATGACAATCGATGTTACTTTATCGTCATAATCTGTCATTCTAGATATTTTCAAAAGAGATTCATTGTCCTTCTTCGAATATTTTACAAAAAAAAACAACTGTTATAAATTCCGTAAAAACGAGATACTCTCCTAAACAGAAACTATGAACGTAGTTGATTTGAAGATGAGCAATTCTAGTTGTTTCAGATAATCTTTGAACTATGTCTTATTTTCTAGGTCTTGTCGAAATCGTTCCGATGCCATTTACAACTGAAACAGTAAAATTATTTTTGATATTACCTATTTATTCTGATGAACGATCTGCAGCTATTCGTTTTCTTTATCATATAAATAAAACATTATTTGATCGAGAAACTCGTGATAAATTTGAAGTACTT